ATACGATCAGGTCCGTCCTCAGTACTTGGGCGCACTGGACGCCTCATTTTCCAAGTCGTCCACACCCACGGCGGGTCTGGTGGCGGTTTTGTCCAACACGGCCAGTGATGGCACGTGGGTCGACGATTACCGCTGCGTGAATGCAAGCGTGACGAAGGCAGCGAAGGTCCACAATGGTTTTAAATTCACGGGGCCTGGGTCCATGGCAACATGGCCCGTGAACAGCCGGGAGGATAATAGTCACTACGGCTTTGTGAACCACGATTTCACTCTTGTGGCGACGGTGGTCATCCACCAGGTTCCGAAGGAAATCACTCCTTTGCTGGGTGCAAGTCTGGGGGACGGTCCCGGCAAGAAGATTATTGGGCTGTCGTACGGCATGGATAAAACGTGGGAGACGGTGTTTGATGGGACAACAACAGCACAGATAAACACTTGGGAGCCTGGGAGAGAATACGAGGTGGCGCTCGTAATTCAGGGCGGCAACAAGGGCTCCGTGTACGTGGATGGTGAGCTTGTGGGGAGCTCGGAAGCGATACCAACACTTGAGACGCGTGGGGCTGAAATCACTCATTTCTACTTTGGGGGTGATGAGGGAGACAGCGACAGCAATGTGACGGTGACGAACGTCTTTCTGTACAACCACCCACTGAATCCCACTGAGATGCGTGCAATCAAGGGAAGGGCACCCGTTTCGACAAGAGGTCCGGAAACCCAAGTGGAGGATGGAACGGAAAGGAGGCATATCCCTCGGATTGAGGGTGTGCGAGCCAATGCGCCTGCTGGGAGCGGACTGCTGCAGCTGCTTCTTCTGCTTGGGCTGTGGGGCTTTGCGGCTGCGTGAGGAGCGTGCGGCTTCAGTGTGGAGCACTTGCGCTTTCCTCTGCAGGACACACACACCGCTAGGAATAAATTTTACTTTGTGAAGAATAATTTGTTTTTTAAATTACTTTTCTTTTCTTTTGCTTGATGATTTAGGGCAACCACTGTGGACGTTTTTTCTTTTCTACTCTTCCCTCTTTAATTGTTTCTTCCGCACTCTTCCTGCGAGGGGTGCCGTGTGTTTCCGCCCAACTGCTCCACTCGCACACCCACCGACACGCTCATGACGACGGCCCTGTGCGCCTCGCCTGCTGCACGCATGAGGCGGGGCCGCGACGAACGGCGCGCTGAGGGAGCCGTGACGTGTGGGCGTGCGACGAGGGCCTGTGGGGCGGCGCACACATTTCTTCCCTCTTGTTTTGTTTTCTTTGCGGCCAGGGCTGGCAGACACCCGCAGCGCCACACACACACAGCCACACCCTGCCGCCGTGTTTTTCTTTTTTTTTTTTTCTTTTTTTTTTTGCTGCGCTCAATCTCCCGATGGAGTGACGCGACTCCCGTCATGTCTGCGTGCTTCTCTCAGTCCCCCCACACACGAGTGACTGTGCTCTGCGGGCCGCACTCACGCGCCGATGAGAGGGCTGAGGGCAGCAGCAACACGCCGATGACCCATGAAATATAAACGATGTGCGGACACACGGAGGGTCGGACGGTTGAAAGACATTTAAATATCTAATTTTTAATGTGCGGGCAAAATATACAAACAGTTTGGTGGGCGCACACAGTAACCAGTGAATTTTTGTGTGATGGGTTTTTCTTTTCTTTTCTTCTTATTTGTGTGTAGCCGTAATAGAGGACGACTTTTTTCAATTTTTTTTTTTATTATCTTTTTTATTTTTCTTTTTTTATCTTTTCTTGTTTTCTTTTTTCTTTCCAGAGCGTGAGGTGTGGAATGAAGATGATTTTTTTTTAAAATTTAATAATTTTTTTATGAATTGCCGCTGCTTTGGTCTGCAGTGCAGTATCATAAGTTTGGGCAGTCTTTTTTCTGTTTATTTCTGCCATGCACTTCTGCTGTACATTTTTGTTTGTGCGTCCCCTCACATGCTCTGCTCCTGTTTTTACTTCTTTGCCTCGTGTGTCTGCAGGCACACACAACCACATGCACGCACAAGATGCGCATTGCAGTGGATTTGGATGCTTCTTTTGTGGCGTGTGCTGGCGGTTGCGGGTGGCTGCTGCTTCCTTTAGTGGGCATGAAGGGGAGGAGGGGAGAGGGAGCGCACACCGCGAGTCACTCTTCCTGCGGGTGTGATGCGCGCGATGGGCTGCGACTGCTGTGGAGGGCCGCATCCCTTCGGTGTGCGCTTCTCCGCCGTTGTGCCGTGCGTTTGCGCATGTCATTTGTTATGCGCGTGCGTGCTGGGCATGTGTTTCCGGAGCGTTGGGCGGCCACCACCATTCTTTTGCGGCTTGTGTGAGTGGGCACGTGCGGATGAGGGTCAGGGCGCATGGAATGAAGGAATGGCTTGAGGAAAGGGGAATTTGATTTGGAGGGTGTTTGCACCGGATTCATTTGGCTGCGGTGGACACATGCACGACGGATGTGTTTCCGCGTAATGGGGAGGATGCGACAGGATTTTACGAAGTGGCCCGTCAATGCAATATGGGTTTCATGGCACTGGGGCACAGTGGTCTTCCTGCAATGGCTGGTGAGGGCCACTAGTGGACCGGTGTATTTATGCTGCTGCTGCTGCTGCTCGAGGAGGCGTAGAAGTGCGATTTGAGGTGAGCGGCGGAGGGGCCACACATCCCGCAGTGATGGTCGTCGTTGGCCCAGCGGGTGCCTCTGAAGGTTTTGTTGGATGCAACGTCCTTATGCCCGTCTCTGGATGGCGGCATCCCTGATGCAGCCAACGAACGGGGCTGGGAGCGACGGTGAGACGCAAGCACGTGTGGATGTTTGGAGCGGCCGGCGCACCGCACGCTGAGAGCATGGCACGGTGAGTACCGGACCCAGAAAAGGGACACCGCGTGGGACGTCAATCTTCACTGCAGCGACCGCCACCGAATTCGGATTTGCTCGCACCTTCTGCGGTCCCTCTTCCTCCCTCACTTCTGTGCCGAGGACTGTGCCGCGGGATCCAGCAGCGCGATGTTTGGCCGCAGGAACATGGCCCGAACAAATGGTTTGTGGGAGGGGATGTGCACTGCGACGAGAAGGAAAAAAATGTTGCGAGACGACCACCACGACAGGACCGGAGTGAAGTTGTGTTTTGTCCACTTGCGCGAGGGCGGCCTGCCACCTGGTCGGTTAGGAGGATTATTTTTTTTTTGCGTCGTTGCGCTTACTTTTTATTCCGCTGCGTTTTCATGCGGACCTGCGAAGGGAGATTTGCAAGAAATTCCTGCAAGGCGTCCGTGCCGTCGTCGGAAAGGCGGAATCCCCCCTGAAAAACGCTACTTTATAAATTTGTTTTGGGCGGGGAGTTCCTGTCGATTCACTGCGACTTTGTTTTGCGGATTTGATGCGTGTGTTTCCGGGCGGTTCGGTCTGCGCCCCCGGCCCACTCGGATGCGGTGTGCGCGTCGACGTGAGGGTGCCTGCCAGCCGTTTTGTTGCCTCCCCCGCTGTGGCTGCTGCCGCTGCCTTCTTCCCCTCCTGAGGTCCTGCGGCTTTTTGACACGATGTTTTGGAGAAGGCGTTGCCGCTCTTATCGTCCATGGTATTTTGATTCTGGTGTCGCGGTCAGGAGACATTGAACGAGAGGGTTTTTCCCCCTTTTTTTAATTTGCCCTCTCTGCCTGACGGCCAGTTCTACACAAGCGTGCTCCTCGGCACCTCAGTTGGTGCTGGCGGGTTGCTCACAGTTGTCACTGGCAATCGCATGCGCCAACTCTTCTCTGCTCCTTTTCAGTGTCGCATTTTTTTATTGATTGACGGACGCCATTCTGTCCGGCGTGTCACTTTGATTGGATTGTGTGGGACTGCTCGCCAACGCCATCGGAGAAAGCAGGCCGACTTTTTACGCATTTAATTCCATCTTGCGCGCAGGTATTTTTTCACATGTTCTGTTGGGCACTCAAACAGCGAGGAGTCCGGAACTATGCGTGCGTGGGATTCTTCCTGCCATGTGGACTGCGGGCATCACCGAGGGGCTGCCACCTTTACTCCGCAGAGTTGTTGTGTCTCTTTGCGGGGTTGGCAGGGAAATTCCATGCAGCCAGCTACTGCTGGTGTGTCCCCAAATGTTGTCACTCCATGCGAATAATGTGCTTCAGCGAGTGAAGGTGTTGATTGGGTTTGTGTGCACTCTGATTCTGTTTGCTATTTTGTGCGGGCACGCAACACTTGAGTGGTGGGAAAATGGAGCGGGGCGATGCGTGGCTGCGTCTCGCCCATTGTTCACTGCACGATGGTGTGGTGCACATTGTGGTGCTGACTCTGCGATTTGACTGCGGTCCCCTGTACGGCAATGGTGGTGGGTGGACGAGAGTGTTGACCCGCGGCGTGACGGTGGGATCGTGCCTCCTTTTCTCTTTGTTTCTTCCCTTTTGTGAAGGTGTGCACCTATTTTTGGTGTCGGTGATGGGGCAAACGGACAGACAAAGTAAATAAAACAAAATAAAAAAGGGCGGTAGTGTGGCGGTGTTTTTGCCGGTTGCACGTCTCGTGTTGCTGCGGGGGCGGTGGGCCTCGACTGCTTCACCGACAGGCGTTGCAGTGCGGCTGCATGGCGCACCGACCGCCCTGCCGTGCGAGTGCCACGTCCAACGCCATTGGGACTGCGGGACGAAACAGCCGCGACTGTCCTTTGGAGCCAGCGGCACCTGCATGCCGCAGTTGGGCGGTGCGAGTGGGATGCTTCACCGCACGGGTGTTGTGATGGCACCTTGCAGCGGCTCTTGTGATGGTTCCGACGCTGCAGCTCGACATGTGGCGGGGAGTAAAGTGTGGCCGCAGTGGACCATGAGCAGCACCAACATGAGGCTGAGTGATTTCCTTCGGAATTATGCTGGCGGCAGGGCGGCCGTTGGTGAAAGACTACAATGTGACGACGGAGGTGTTTGTTCAGGGGCCGGATGATTACGTACAAGACCAGCGGCCTCTTGAAGAAATTCTTAACTTAACTGCGCACCAAGCGCTGGAGGCCATTACTAGGCCTCTTCACGAAGGTGTGCTCTCTCTCGGGCAACGTAGGGACTATGAAAGAAAAGCATACGATCACTCCTCTTGCAAGAAGAACACCAAACGGAGTGCTTACGCAGGTACTGACAGAAGCGAGGCGGGAGGCAGAGGAAAGGCTAAGACGAACGCAAGAAATGAAATTTACCATTTCCACTAATATCGAAGAGGTACTGTTTAAGGGAAGAGTTTGCGTCAACGAAATGAGGCTGAACGACTTTCTTACGAGGGAACTGGACGGCAGGGGCATTGTGGACACCAACCGGGATGCCATGCTGGAGGAGTTTTTCAAGGACCCCACGAGGTATATCCGTGGTAAAGGAGCGTTGAACGAGATACAGGCATCAGGTCGTTATTTGGGTATGAAGCGAGCTGTAAAGGGTGAAGTGGTCTTCGACGAGGATATACGCAGGCTATGCGATAAGGGTGTCAACAATCCACCGGGGTGGTCATTGGCTGCTGCGGACGTAAAAGCAGCTGTTCATAACTCCACCAAACATTTCTTGGATGCAGCTGCCGAGGAGGCGAGGAACCCAACGACGACGAGCGCACCGGAGAAACTGGAGGGATTGTACGAGTCTGTGCACAATGCGAGGCGGAGCCATGCGGTGGAACTTCCGGACGGCGATGAGCGAAAGAAAACGGGGACGGGAATGGGGGTGCATGAGGGGAAGCCAGAACAGTCATGGTCGTACAGGAAAGTTGGCAACACCCTCGAAAAGGATGACGCTGTGCAGCAATGTGGTTCAGCACCTCCCGTGTTGATGGTGCTTGCCTCGGAGAAGGGATGGCCGTACTCGTGGCATACGATACAGGATCTTCCTAAGGACGTTTTTGTGAACTGCGAGGTGGAGCGAGCGTGGCAGATCGTCAAGGGCGATGTAACCGCGTGGTCCAGCCCTCACGGTGGGACTGACTTTAAGCCTGGGCGGCGTGTGTTGATTGGGATGCCGGGATCGGGAAGTCGATGGCTGCCGGCTCGTACCTCCTCTACCAGCTGCTGCACTGCGATGCCACGAAACTCCAAGTGGTAGTCCACTGTTTTGGAGAGGAGATGCGTACGTGTCTGACAAGACCAGCAGGACGGTGACAAGATGCGGCGATGAGGACATGTGCATCTCGGAGTTGAGAAGTTTGAGGGGGCATGGGAGGAATGTGTATATTATCTACGGTGTGGCAAAGGAGGGAACGCCGCCACCGAGACATTTTGCGCCTTATGATAGATGGGGCATGATTGTGGTGCCTTCCCCAAACGTAGCCAACTATGATGAGTGGGCGAAGCAACTGCAAGCCGCGCGAATCATCGTGAATTGCCCCGACGAGGTGGATGTGAAGGCGGTGTGCGCCTGGATGACGCGTGGCGGGGCTAAAGAGAAACAAGCGTAATGCTGGAAAGAGGTCAAAAAACACATGTATCTTTTGGGACCGATTCCACGTCACGTCTTTGATGAGGAGGCGTTTAATGGACGCTGTGGAGCGGTGGAGTTTGCATTGCAATCGATCAACGAGGTAACTGTGAAAGAGTACTTTTCACGGGGAGGTGAGTCGCCATGGTGTTCTGAGGATCCGTCCCACAGGCTTGTGAAGGTTGTTCGGGAAATATACGCAGGCGGTGTGATCCTTTTCAATGCACCGCTGTCTGCTTGCCTCGAGGAACGGACATTGGAACGCCTCCCAAGTGTAGCAGAATAAAATAGCTTTTGAGGCTGATGTTGGCGTCGAAGGACAATATTTTGCCCATATTTTTTGGATGGTTTGCTTTGAAATCGTTCACGGAGAGTGCCTTTGTCAAGGCAATGGCGACGAAACTCACGGAGTTTGAGCCGCCAACAGGACGTCAAGCAAAGCCCTGCGTTTTGTAGTTGGCCCTGAATTGCATCCCAAGGGAGATGAGGGTTTGCTGCCGAGTGAATATGAAAAAACGATCCGTAAAATAAAGTACGGGGTGCTGCACAAACCGTGGGCCACAAACCTTCCGCTGGTGGACGGCTTTTTCTTTGTGGAGTCAAATCCAATGACGCTGGTTGGGCTGCGGATGATTCCGGCGGGTGGGCACCACACCACCGCCAGCACTGTGCGGCCGTTCACTGAGTGTCTGGCGGCATATTTTAATGGTTGGGAGGAATTGTTCCGAGACATGTCGTGGGATATTATGTATACAACACTTAGGCAGCACGCCGATGGATGACTGGCGGAGACGTCATGTCGATAATTCCAATAGTGTGAGCGACGATAAAAGCCGTGAAATAGCGGTGTTTTGGAACGGAAAAGGTGCGCCAGTAACAAGTGTCAGTGTCATTGGAAAGCTCCAGAAGGGGCGAGGCTCTCTGAGGTGGGGAATAACCACAGAAATGGGAAAATAAATTAGGGAGGGAAATAGTTTTTGTTTTTAGTGAAAAACATTTGGTGTTTTCATACACCACGTTAATTGTGTGTGCATACGAGGCATAATTGGAGAATTGCCCCGGTATGAGCGAATCATTGTTGCTGGCGGCATTGCGGTATCACTGCATTTTTTATTTTATTCTGTTGTTTTCCAAGGTCCATCACGAACAGAAGCATCTCTAAGGGATGGACGAAGATCAATTTCTATTGAGGAAATGGCGAACTCTGTGTAACCGCGTGGACTGAGGCGCCGTATACCATTGATGGATGAGGAATCGCTTCTGCGTGTGTGGCTCTTTGGGTGACTGCTTGCTCCGCGTGCGCTGTGTTTGTTGGCTGCGGGCTGTGGCCGTATCCCGTTGTCCGTGGGACTGAACTGGAGGCGATGATGGCGGTGGGTCTTTTCTCGTTCTTGTCCATTGGTGTGTGGCTGCTGGCGGTGTGTGCGTTTGTTGTGTAGACGCTGCCTTGCGTTGACAGTCGCTGTTTGTTCCCGGTGCGCTGTTCTTCCTTCTCCTGTTCCGTGTGTCTGTGTGCGTGAGTTGCTGTTGGGAGTGGCTGCGGCGGGGATGATGGTGCCAATCACGGTGGATGGGTGACTGTGCCCACTGTTGTGCTCCTCACTGTTTTGTCTCTTTGCTTGGCATGCTTCCTTCTCTCCCTGCTTTTTCGCACACACGAAGGAGAAGCGTTACGACCAAGCGCTAATCGCCACTGTGAAATTGCAAGGCACTGAAAGGAACAACAGCACACCGCCCACGCACACACATATTTATATGCTCTCACGTGTTGCTGCAGTCAAGGCACCCCGCACACACAACCGTTGCGGCGTGAGCGGATCCAGCGGCAGGAGGAGGGAAGGAAGAGAGAGTGAGCCGCAAATGCCCAGCATGTCCCGGCGTGTGTTTGCTTCCGCGGTGCTTCCGCTCTTTCTCTTCGTGATGATGTGCTGCGGCACTGGTGGAGCCGCAGCCAATAATAGGGGGGCTTCAGGTCAGGAATCTTCACCGGGAAATTGTATTGATTGGAGGGATATTAAAACAGGAGAAAAAGTGGGTGCGCTCCATGCTCCCAGTCTTGTTGAGGTGAATGGTGATGTGTTTGCCGTTGCCGAGGCGCAGTGCACGAAGGATGAAGGATGTATTTTTACTGGAATTGCCTCGGAGCTCCTGGAATTGAGTGATAAAACGAAAAAAAAGGAGTTGGATGAGAGCAAATTGAAGACACAAGTACTGGATGAATGCTCTTCTTCGGAAGAAGGTCAATGCCCCTCACAACCAGTGAAACAGGACGGTTCCCAAAGAGTGATGAACATACATGTGGGCCGGCCAACAACAATTGTGACGACAAGTCAGATTTACATGCTTGCTGGAAACTACAGCCGTACAGCTGCCGCTGGCACTCAGAAGAGTAAAGCACATGAATGGGGACTCTTGCTGGTGAGAGGGAACGTCAGTGAAGAACAGGGCAAAAAAATAAACTGGAATGATACTTACCGTTTTCTCTGGACTGATTTGAAAAAACAACACGAATCTTGGTCAGGACTGATTGGCGGCGGTGGATCGGGTATTAGGATGGAGGACGGTACGTTTTTGTTCCCAGTGGAAGGCACGAATGAAAAGAATGGAACGACCGTTTCGCTGATTATATACTTTTCGGCCAATGAGGGTTGGACGCTGTCGAAGGGGATGTCTGACGGTGGCTGCAGTGATCCCTCCGTCGTGGAGCGGGAAAAGGGAAAACTCATGATGATGACTGCGTGTGATGGCCGCCGCAGGGTGTACGAGTCCGCTGACAAGGGGGAATCGTGGACGGAGGCACTCGGGACACTCTCGCGCGTGTGGGGCAACAAACATAAGCTACATGAGAGGGGCGTTAGAAGCGGGTTCATCACAGCGAGGATTGACGGTGTTGTTGATAATAGAAATGTGATGCTCGTTACTCTGCCGGTGTATCCCAAGGAGGACAGTAAAAAAGAAACGGACAATAGAAAAGGAAAACTCCATCTTTGGCTGACGGACAATACGCACATTGTTGATATTGGGCCGGTGTCCGATGATGACGCTGCCGCCAGCTCCCTGTTGTACAGAAGTGGTGAAAGTGAAACTAACAAGAAGGAGGAGTTGATTGCACTGTACGAGAAGGAGAAGAGCGATGAAGGAAAACCATCACCCGGTATGGTCTCTGTGCTTCTGACTGCGCAGCTGCAGCGTGTGAAGGATGTGCTGGCGACGTGGAAGGAAGTGGACGACCGTGTCTCCAAGCTGTGCCCTTCTGAGAGCGCTGTGCAGGCTCCCTCAACTGACAGTGCCTGCAGCGATGTTAAGATCACGGATGGGCTGGTTGGCTTTTTGTCCGGCAACTTCTCTGGTAGCACATGGAGGGACGAGTACCTCGGGGTGAACGCCAAAGTAAAGAATAAAGATGGGGCAACCGAGGATGCAGGGGCTGCGAGGACAACAAAAACTTCCGATGGTGTGAATTTCACGGGAGCGTGGGCGGAGTGGCCTGTTGGCAGTCAGGGGGAGAATCAGCTGTACCACTTTGCGAACTACAACTTCACTCTTGTGGCAACGGTGTCCATCGACGGTGAGCCAAAGGAGGGTTCTCCCATTACCTTGATGGACGCGAAGAAAGTTGACGATAATAATCCCGTACTTTTTGGACTGTCATACGACAAAGAAAAGAAGTGGATATTACTGTGTAGTGACGGGCCGATCAAGGAGCACAGCAGTGCTTGGGAGAAGGATACAGCACACCACGTGGTGATTTTGCTACGGAACGGCACTCAGGGCTCCGCGTACGTCGATGGTCAGCCTGTGGGTGGGGATGTGCCCTGTGAATTGAAAGTCACGGAATCGAACGAGATCTCCCACTTCTACATTGGAGGGGGCGAACGCAATGCAGGCGACGCAGGGAGCGAAGAAGGCTTGTCAGTGACTGTGACGAACGTCCTGCTGTACAACCGCCCGTTGAGTACTGCGGAGATTGGCGCCTTCAACCCGAATAAAGTCCTCATTCCACCTGTGGTGCCTGACAATGCCCAGGGAACCCAGTCGCAGTCGTCTTCTGGCGGGAAATCGCCGTCGGGGCATAAATTGTTGAATGAAAATGAGGGTGCGGTCGGTGGCAGCACGTCCCCATCAACACCGTCCACTATAACGAATTCAGAAAAAGAGCAATCCGTAATTCAGCTGCCTTTAGGAATATCCTCCGGTGGAAAAAAAAATGTGGATGTCGCTTCTCCATCCGATGGTGATCCAAGGGTGGGAGCAGAAGCTGGAGGTGCTGTGCAGGGAGACAAAGCACCCCAAACTCCTGTGGATACCCCCGACACAGCAGATGCAAACGCTCCTACCGCTACGAAAGTGGCTCAAGTTGGCCCCGCAGCTACAACTGAGGTGGGCGCGAGCTCCGGTGCGAATGAGGAGGCCGCGGGAGGAACTGATGGGCAGGAGGAAGGAGTACATGCACGGGACAGGGGAGTAAATGCCACGGCACTCAGCAGCAGTCTCGGAAATGTGTCGCAGGGGAATAACAGCGATGCCGGCACTGTGCGTGGGAGCGGACTGCTGCCATCGCTGCTTCTTATGTTGGGACTGTGGGTGTTTGCGGCTCTGTGAGGCGTGACTGGCTGCCGCGTGGGACACTTGCGGCCTCCCCTGCACCGACACACACGGTAATAAATTTATTACTTCAAATAACTTTTATTTACCTTTTTCCCTGTTTTTTGTGTGTTTTATATCCCCATTTCTTTTTTTTTTTTTGCTTTTTTGGGGCAATCACTATGGACGTTTTTTTCTTTTCTACTCTTCCCTCTTTAATTGTTTGTTGCTGCACTCTTCCTGCGAGGGGTGCCGTGTGTTTCCCGCCCAACTGCTCCACTCGCACACCACCGGCACGCTCATGACGACGGCCCTGTGCGCCTCGCCTGCTGCACGCATGAGGAGGGGCCGCGACGAACGGCGCGCTGAGGGAGCCGTGACGTGTGGGCGTGCGACGAGGGCCTGTGGGGCGGAGCACACATTTCTTCCCTCTTTTTTTGTTTTCTTTGCGGCCGGGGCGGGCAGACACCCGCAGCGCTGCACACACACAGCCACACCCTGCCGCCGTGTTTTTTTTTCTTTTTTTTTTTGCTGCGCTCACTCTCCCGATGGAGTGACGCGACTCCCGTCATGTCTGCGTGCTTCTCTCAGTCCCACACACACGAGTGACTGTGCTCTGCGGGCCGCACTCACGCACCGATGAGAGGGCTGAGGGGAGCAGCAACACGCAGATGACCCCATGAAATATAAACGATGTGCGGACACACGGAGGGTCGGACGGTTGAAGCACACGCAGCCATCTTTTTAATTTTCTTTTGTGGGCAAAATACATACAGACAGTTTGGTGTGGCCACACGGCAGCCAGGCGATTTTTTTCTTATTTTAATTTGTGTGGAACAGTAATGGACGATTTCTTTTTATTTATAATTATTTTGTGCGATGGGGTTTACATAAGACGAAGGGGGACGTTTTTTTGTTTTCAATAAATATTGTGTGAATTGCCGCTGCTTGGGCTGCAGTGCAGTGATGAGTTTGAGCGGTCTTCTTGTTGTTGTTTCCGTTATGCATCTCCGCTGTACATTTTTGTGCGTCCCTTCACATACTCTGCTCCCTCTTTTTCTTCTTTGCTTTGTGTTTCTGCAGGCACACACAACCACACACACACAAGATGCACATTGCAGTGGATTTGAATGCACCTTTTGTGGTGCATGCTGGCAGTTGCGTGTGGCGGCTGTTGTCTTCTTCCGTGGCCATGAGGAGGGGGAGAGAGAGGGAGCGCACCCCGAGTCTAATTTCCTGTGGGTGTGATGCACCGCGTGTGGCTGCGTTGAGTTGGGCTCCGTGTCCCATTGAGGGTGGGATGGCAGGAAATTTTGTTGCCGCGTCATGGATGGATGAGGGTGCACTTGCGCGTGTGGCTGTTGTGGTGGGTGCTTGCTCCGTGTGTGTGCTGCTGCTGGGAGTCGTGGAGATGTATCTGGTGATGCGGATGCGGTGGTTGTGCCGATGGATGTGTCGTGTGCTCCGAGTGACGGCAGCCTGATCTATCGCGTGTGTGTGTGTGGGCGTGGAAGAAGTGTTCTGCTGCCAGTGCCGAGGCTGAGTGTGAGAATTATACTTTCAGTGGCTTTGTTGTGCGCATGCATTGCAGAGATGGTGAGCTGGCTGCTGTGTGCCGTGTGGCCAATGCGGTGCACACATGTGGCAACTGTGCTGCCAGCTGTGCAACGAGGGAGGAAGGGGCCACCGTTGCCTTCACGATGAATGTGACGACGCATAAATACGCCGGCCCTTATGAATTGTGGTGGCGTCAATTTTTCCCCGATGGAACCATCCATCCGCCTGCACGGAGCGGCGATGCTGACCGTACGGGGATCTGTCAGTTGCCGCCACCCCGTGAAGGGAAGGATGACACAAAATCTGGCGAGACAACTGCGCCGCAAGTGAATGCTGAGCCGTCACGTCAGAACGAGGATTGGCGACAGTCTGCGGCGGCTGGCGGACCCAACACCGTCGATCAGAGTCCCGCATCCAACACGGCGACCAACACGTCCGTGACGAGGCCTGAGTTTGCCTTTGTTCGGAACATAAAAGTGACTCCGGCACCACCCGGAAGAAGGCCCACGCCTGTCACCGAGCCGAAGGGGGATCCTGTTGATGATGCGATGAGTGGTTCAATAAATGTTGAGTTACTGCAGGGAGCCGATCTATTTGTTCCGCGGACGACGCTGGTGCAGCCGAAGGATGGGATTGTTCCAGTTACGACGAGGGATTCATTTGCTTCACCCTCCCTTGCCAGTGCTGGTGGAGTAATTGCTGCTTTCGCCGAGGGTCACACAGATGCCGAATATCAAGGTGGTCAATTAAGTAAGCCCTTTTCTTCTGATGTTGTTGCGGGGTACATTGACTCTGCGTGGAATTGGTCCACTGTTGTTGGTGAGGTCAATAAAAGGATACATGGATGGCACACACTGTGCCTGGTGCAGCGGAGGGAGAGGAGAGTTTGGGTGTTGTGCTCCGCCTCACAACAATCACGAAGGGCAACGGAGTGTTTCCTTTTGCGGGAGGCACTGATGTGTCCTACGAAGGTGGGTGTTGGAGAGAGGGTGGCTTGGAGCTGAAACTGTTTGTGGGCGATGTCACGAATCCCACGGGTGGCAAGCGGAGTGAGTGGATCGAATGCGGCGACCCCAAACCACTCTTGAAGCGGATCCCTTCTGCTTCTCACGAAGGGTGAGCGGACGGAGTTCATTGCTTCTGGTGGCTCAGGTGTTGTGGTGGAGGATGGCACCTTCCTGTTTCCTCTGATGGCGAAGGATGAAGCAGAAGACGTTTGCTCCACGATCATTTACTCGACGGACAACGGCAGTAACTGGGCGCTCTCTGAGGGCATGTCCCCTGCGGAATGTCTTGACCCCGCGTCAGCGAGTGGGAGGGATCACTTCTCATGATTGTTGACTGCGAGAACGACCAGAGGGTGTAGGAGTCGCGTGACATGGGGACAGCGTGGACGGAGGCCATCGGGACACTCCCAGGCGTGTGTGTCAACTCAGGATCGGGAGACTCTCAGAAGGAAAGCCTGCGTGTGGATGCCTTCATCACCGCGACCATCGAGGGCAGGAAGGTCATGCTGTACATTCAGAGAGGGTACGCCTCGGTGGAGAAGGAGGCCACTGCGCTCTACCTTTGGGTGACGGACAACAACCGCTCGTTTTTTGTTGGACCGGTTGGCATGGACGATGCTGCTGCGGATTGGGAGCTCGCCAGAACCCTGCTGCACTCGGATGGCAGTTTGCATCTTTTACGATGGAGGGGCAACAGTGAACGCAGTGTCATCTCACTTTCCCGCCTGACGGAGGAACTGAGTGCGGTCAGGTCCGTCCTCAGTACTTGGGCGCAAAGGGACATTTTTTTCTCCAACTTTTCTATACCCACGGCGGGGCTTGTGGCAGTTTTGTCCGATGCGGCCAGTGATGGCACGTGGAACGACGAGTACCTCTGCCTGCATGCAACGGTGACGGCTAATGCAAAGAAGGTCAAATATGGATTTCGATCCACGCGACTTGAGTCCAGGGCAATATGGCCCGTGAACACTCGAGGTGATGAAGTACGTCATGTATTCTTGAGACACCACTCCACACTTGTGGCGTCGGTGAGCATCGAAGGGACTCCGAGTGAGAGCACTCCTCCACTGACTGCGGTGTTGGCGGACACTGCGTCCAATCATACCGTGGGAATGTCGTACAGCCACAATAAAACGTGGTACACGTCGATCGAAGGCAAGACAACAACACGGAGGAGCACTTGGGGGCCGAGGAAAGAATACCAAGTGGCACTCATGCTGCAAGGCAACAAGACCTCTGTGCACATTGATGGTCATTCGCTGGGGGAGGAAGAGGTGCTGTTAACAGGCGAGAGGCCACCTGAGGTACTGAGGGTTCGCTTTGACGCGTGCGGTGGGCACGAATCTCGTGTGACGCTGACGGACGTTTTTCTGTACAGCCGCCCACTGAATTCCACTGCGATGCGTGCACTCAAGGGCAGGGTCTCCGCTCCGACGAGAGAAGCGGCTCCGACACCGCCCGAGAAGATTCGAGTATTTGACAGCGTCAGGGAGCACGCTGCTGGGGATATCACAGAAGAGGAATGGATGGGCACAACACCCCTGGACACGAATCCCCACTACAAATAGTCACCTCGCAGGGTGTGGAGCGGCGTGAGTTCCGACGACCGCCCCGCCTCTCCCAACGAAGTGAAATTGACACTGCGTGATTTGGGCGGCAACAACACCGTGCGTGCGTGTTTTGTGTGCCGCTGCTTCCTCTGGGATTGTATTTGGGTCGTGGCAGTCTGTGAGCCACGGAGTGAGGATCTGCGACGCCTCACGGAGAATACACGCCGCATTGCCCGCGCTTTTTTATACCACTGTTTTTGTTAGTTTTACTATTCGTTTATTTTGTTGATGTTTTTACTTTTCAATGTTTTTTTACTTAATTTAGCCGAAGTAGTAAGTACTGTCATTTTTTCTTTTCGTAATTTTCGGTTGCTGCACACTTTCATGAGTGACGTGTTCCCCCTTTTTTTTTGCTTTTGTTGTTGCCCACACGTTGTGCCGGCCCTGCGGCTGTGTCTTCCACGGACTGCACGAAAGGAGGATTGGAAGAAAAGGCCGGATGCCGCAATGACGTGTGAAGAATGCTGTGTGGGCTGGTGGAACAGTGCGATCTCTTTTATTTATTTTAATTCCGCTTCTTTTTTTGTTGGTGCGGGCAATATGTATATACACGATCACACGGTTGGTCGTCTTGTGCTGCTCGGTCCATGAAATAAAAGTCCTGCCGCATCAATTTTTCCATTAATTTTTCCTTTTATTTTTAGGAGTTATCCCGGACCCTCATCTTTTTTTTGTTTCCTTAAATCCCTGCGGTCTGTTTCTGTAGTTACCGTATCTGCTGTCGCTTTGTGTCTCCGTGTCCCGTTGACTGTTCCTCTGCTGACTGTGCAGTTGACATGCCCTCGTTCCTTTTCTTTCTCTTTTTTCCTGCGGGAGGCACCGATGGTCCGCGACGACGATTGTT